TGTGTACGTAAACGCTTGTGTTAGCGCCAGTATTGTTACGTAAAAATGAAAATTCAAGAAAGTCTCCACACGCCAAAAAGTATAACCAACGCGCCGCGACTAAAAAGAGGGTATATGTTATTAGTTTGCTATAGTCAGTGTGCTATAAACCTTGGAAGCTATAACTGTGATTGTTATAACGCTTATCAATCGGAAACTTAAGATACTTGACCAGGAGCACTTACAAAGTTCGAAAATAACAAATCATTTAACTTCAGTGCATTCTCATCGAACATTAATACTTTTTAAGAAAATATCATATAAATTCATCATGGAAAACTCAACGTATGCGGCTGGTGAATAACGAATGACAAAGCCAGCTAGCTCCCCGTTAAGCGAATCGTACCTACATCAACTCGCTCATCGTGGACCCTCGATAAGATATCAAGGAAGTTTCAGACTAGAAAGAAGACTTTACATTGCTTATAAGTTTGTGAAACTGTTGTTTATATACCATTGTTTGTAATAATTGTTATTGTAAATTGTATTACTGTTTGTATATTAAAACATATTTGTATAAAAAGAAGAAAACTGTGTGTATCAATTTTGTTGGCAAATATCATAAACTGACTATATATCGGCTTTTACTTAACTGCTAAATCCAAACTATAATTTAACTACTAAATAATTAAAGTATCATTTAGCTCGGTTTCAGACTATTTGAATTTCTAATACGCAACAGTTGTTTTGAGCAACTGTTCGTCAAAACACACATACAACTTGTTTTGTATAAAAGGGTGCACTTTTGGTTTAATGTTCTCCAAACAGATCAACGTTTTGTTCAGACAATTTCTCTATACTTAGTGTAAAGTCATGTCTCGTCACGTGCCAGAAGTTACAGGGCGTCAAAATGTTCAATTGTCCAGCAATGGTATGAAGCACACAGATATTGTCAGAACAGTAGGGTACCCCCAGTGTACTGTATACAAAAACATGAAACGTCATCGGACTACAAGAAACTCTACTGGTAGACACCGAAAAACTGCTGCCCGAGATGGCCGTGCTTTGCTCAGGTTAACACGTTAAGGTCGAAAGAAGTCTTGTAACACCATATGGCAGGAATGGCATGAAGACATTCATTCCAGGGTATTCAGAAGAACAGCGAATAGGAGACTGACCAAATTAGGTTATTTTGCACGAAAGGCTATCTGCAAACCGATATTAACCAGAATTCACGGCCGTCACCATGTTACTTGGGCAAGACAACATGCCAACTTACAGCTAGGACACTAGCAGCATGTCATCCTTTTACATTAGTCCTGTTTCCTGCTTCTTAAAGCTGGTGGTAGGATTCATGTTTGTCGGTTGCCTGGAGAACAGATAAAAGAAGACTGTTTTTCCCACAGAGAATACGGGAGGTGTTGCAGTAGATATTTGAGCAGCTATTCATCATGGTGGAAAAACTCTTTATATCCTCCAGGGAATTGTCCCACAGGCATCACATGAAGACGATATTTTTGCCATATGCTAGGGCAAGGTTTGGAAGTAACTTTGTGTTCCAGGATGACAATGCTACTGCCCACATTGTACAGATTATCTCGAACAGGAGAACATTACAAGATTGCTATGGCGAACAAAGTCTCCCGATTGTAATCCCATTAAGAACTGTTGTGCAGAAAACTGCTAACCACGACCTTAAACCAGCTACTGCAGCATAGTTGCAGCGCTTTTTAGTGACAAGTTGGGATGAAATCACGGTGGGTTACATCAATAGCCTCATCGACAGCATGCCACATCGCTTTGTGGAGGTTATTAGAGTCCATGGATGACCAATCAAGTACTGAACGTTTAGTATGAACTGATATAAGGTTACAGGCGCTATTTATAATTATTTGGTGAAATAATCTCACCAAATTCTCCCATAATAAACTGATTTTTCATTTTTTATCTCCTCCCCACCTAAAAATGAATGTCTTCATTAGACACAGCTATCCAAAACGTAGTGGTTGTATAATATTTGTTGTTAGTTATTACCTTCGCATAAAATTTCGTTTACCACTTTTCTCTCTTGTGAAGCCGTGAGGAAGAAAGTCCTTGGACGTATGTGTTGTTCCGTGGGGCTAGAAAAAATAATGAAAAACAATTAATTACTGTTTCTGAATGGTGTTTTTACAATATATAACTTACTGCTAGAAAACTTAAAATGTTGCACGAATTCGAAGTACAGTTTTGGTTGGTTTAGTTTGAATTTCGTCCAAAGCTACTACACGATGGCTCTCTGCGCTAGCCGTCCCTAATTTAGCAGTGAAAGACTAGAGGGAAAGCAGCTAGTCATCACCACCCACCGCCAACACTTGGGCTACTCTTTTATCAACGAGTAGTAGAATTTACCGTCACATTATAACTCTTCCACCGCTGAAAGGGCGAGCGTGTTTGGTGGGACGGGGATTCGAGCCCTCTACCCAGGCCCTCGACGTACAGTCGAACAACACTCAGTGTTGAGAAAATAAGAGCAGAATAAGTTTATTAACTTATCTTCTCTCACTAAAATCCCCCGGTGGGACAGTGGTAAGTCTACGTATTTATAAAGCTAAAATCAGGGGTTTAATTCTATTCGGTGGACACAAAAGATAGTCCGATGTGGCTTTGCTATAACTACAACACACACACTCCACAACATGGTATTTCTAGTGTCACATTAAGTCTTTTCTCTCTCTCTCTCTCTTTTCACTATGAATCTGCAATTTCAAACAGGGAATTATTGGAATGGTATATCTAAAACAATGTTAGTTTATCTTATAAACTATGAAATCTGCAGGTTATTTCGATTTACTTTTAAATAAATATTCTGTATAAGTATATCTATATAAACATTTTAAGCTAGATACAGATTTTGTCTTTAATTTATGAAATTCACTAAATAAATAAAACTACTAAAATTTTCAGCTGAAACTCTACATAGAAAATTTTTAAAGCATTTAGAAAAAATAATGATAATCAAGCTCTTAACTCCCTGTATCATATAAAAAGGTTTATAGAAATTAAAATATTGTACCTTATCACTTACTTGTGATTTCCATTTTGTAAGTAAAGAGAAGGATTTTGGTTACATGAAAAGATAATGTTATTAACCTATAGAGATCTGTTCAGCCAACATAAAGGTAAGATGAAGACATTGAAGTAGAATCATAAATATAATTGAGACTTAAGAAAACCTTAATTAACATATTTACTACAGGACAATTAGAAATCGTTGTAATAGAAATATTGTTGAAACCTATTGAAATTTACTCAACATCTTACACTGTTGTTGAAAAATAAGTCTGGTTCATGTCCTAAAAGCGCTTCAGTATCTTAGTTGCCCCCCCCCCCTCAGTAGCTCAGTAGTAAGTCTGTAGACTTACAACGCTATAAATCGGGTTTCGATACCCGTGGTGGGCGAACAACAAATAGCACCTTTGTAATGGAGGGTTTCCAAACAAAATCCTCTTATACTAACGGTTCTACAAGTTACCGATGTATTTAACGGAAGTATATTCAAGCTTAACTATAACACTACCTATGATTTGCAATTTACTATATAAAAAAATATATCAAAATTTGTCGGAAACCTTTTCTCAAATTTGTGAATCTTACCTATCATACAGCAAGTCGAATTTTGATAACTTGGCACCCACAAGTTGACAAGTAAACATAAAAGACAGCATTGCCATGACGACATTTTGTTTGCTTCTATTCTTCTTCATCGTATGTACATCACTTAACTGATACTGAGAACACAAGAGTACGAAGTGAATGCTGATTGTAAGTAAGGATTTCGTAAGTTTTTTCCTGTGCGCAAATATCACTGAGCAGGAAAAAAAAAAGAATTATCACCCATTGCTTTACATCCGGAGAAACGAAACCACTCATTTGTTTTGATTTCGTACTGTTTCAACGTCAGAGTTGTGTGAAATTTACAACACTCTTATAGTACAAGTGACGTAATAACAATGTAAAAAAATTTATAAATACAGGAAAATTCTTACAACCACCCAGGCGTTACATAATACATCCGGATTCGAGTAAATTGGTGAAACATGTCCAGAGAAATTGTATACTAAAGATAGAGAAAAGAATAACCGAGGTATGTCAACTGAAGAATTAGAAGAATAAATAGGCATACTATTTGTGATAAGAATCACGGGAACTTTTTTAAATTTTCAGTCGGTGTTTAAAGCAGATTAAATTGTATACAGAATTATTTTTTTTTAAACGATAAGATTTGACTAAAAGTCTAAAAAACTATTCATATAAACGCAATTAAGGAGCTAAAATTATTTTAATACACTGTTATGATTTATATTCAGTCATGAAATACCAACGGTCATACACTATTAATGGAATTTTTTGGTACATCTGCAATGCTTCAACTGTGCAACGGCAGGGAAACGTATGAGACTGAATGACGACAATTGGAAACTTGTTGCGACTAAGAACCCAGACTATGTTTCTGTAGTCACTAACATTATCACTGTATCTATCTATTTAATAAACAACAACGCAGAATTTAATCCTTTCATTTTCTGGCGATATGTTTCATTTCTCAACATTTTTGGACAAACCATTGTTGGCTTCTCTGTAAAGGTCAGAGAACAAAACGAAAACAGGATGGAGTTTTGAATTTCAAATTACAAAAATATAAACTATTTCAAAATATTCATATAAACCTCACATGCAAATTAAATTTAAAACTTAAAACAAATTTAATATTATACTTTCTGAGATATTCAAGTCCATTGATTTCTGACAGTAAACAGCAGATTCAGGAAATGTTAAGCAGAGAATACGATGAACACGGACAAGCAAAATGAAAACAAGCACATGCACGTGAATGAATAAAAACGTAAAATCTTTATTTATACAAATCACAAAGGTTTTACCTAATCGCGAAACACTCTGGCTGCAAGAACTGGACAAAACAAAACGGAGGAAGAATCATAATGAAACCATAATTTTAAGTAAGACAAAATCCTAATTACGGTATCTAACAATTTTAGATAACCTACGTCAATGATCAGTCCCATTATACGTGTAAATGAGAGATAAATCCCTTCTCATAATAATTTGTACAGACTTTTGTACCACCTCTTGAAATGAGTATGACCTAATTTCAGGAGAATATGAGATTTATGCAGGGTCAAAGGGGTCTAAGCCTTGTTGAACAATTATTGTGGTGTACAAGAATTTAAGAACTTTCACGATCCTTTCACAACTACGTCACTAAATACGTGTAAAACATGTACACGAAAATGTAGAAAAAAAGTATACAAATATACCATAATAAAGATGTATTCTTTCAAGTTATACAAGTGTAAAATATAGTCATCACTCACATAAGTATATTTTCTATATGAGTAATATTAAATCCATCTGTAACTTTTAACTATTGAAGACTTTGTATCCTAACAGATATAATAAAATTATCGATTTTTAAGTTTTAAATGCAATTTAAATCTATTTTGAACATAAAGTATTTCTATGTTTTTGTAATTTTCAAGTTTAAATTTTTGTGATATACGATGATTAAACTAAACTAACAAATTTGAAGAAGAAATTATTGCGTTATAAATTCTTCATTATTTGCTTATTTGATTGAAAATGTGTTTCTCTAATTTCTTTAGTTAATTAATTTGCTTTTTTTTTTGTTAAGCACAAAGCTACACAATGGGCAATCTGTGTTGTGCACACTACGGGTATCAAACTCCAGTTTTAAGCGTTATAAGACTTACCACTGGCAAGGTTTTAATAACTTTTAAGTGTCTTTCCTTTATTTATTTATTTACATTAGCAGAGAAACCTCAATATTTACATTGTACTTAAAGCCTGAATGGGATAACGTGCAATATACTTTGTAAATAGCTTTGTATGAAATGTTAGTTTCTTGAGAAATTATTTCTGAATTAATATTAACGTCAGAACCTGTAGTGGTAAAAATATATTAGGTATATTACATTTATTTAGAAACTCAGTAACTGTGATTTGTTTTGTAATTGTTTTATTGGGCTATTGAGCCTGGTCGTTGTGATAAAATCTGATCAAATTAGAGCACATACCTTCGCCACTCAGCGTTGATCATATTCGGCTCTATAAAAATACGAAAATGTATCCGTATGTCCGTCAATATCAATGAGCACAGACCATTTTTGCCAGGATAATGAGGAATAATATTATACACATGTCTACCAAGTGTAACGAATTTATTATTATATATTTATTTTAATATCGACGTTGTTTAGATCAAATTTATATTTAAAAACATACATAGCTTGTACTATTAAATATGTA